GTAATGTATTATATTGCAACTTGTTTAATCTAAAATACAATGTTATAATTTAAAATAGTTCGTTGTTAATAATTACTGTACAATTTATAAACACCTCAGGAAAGATATCCATATTTTATCCTCATTGTGTATGCAAGTGCATGCACGAGCACGTGTAGTTTTTATATGCGCAATTTTGACACACCTTGAATCAAATTTGCTGAGAAATTAGAACATGGTCGCTAGTGATAGTCCATCCCACAATCCAAGACATCTTGGAGAAAAGTAACTTTATGAAGTTTAATTCAAGCTGAAATAAAATTATAAATCGCGGCCAAGTTTTGTCTGACATCTCCTCTATCACTTTCTATTTTCCCCTCTTTTCTTTCTTTGCAGTTGTGTAACTGTTCTTTCTACAGCTACTTTCTATCCCTTTAATCGTAGTTCACAGAGAGAGGGGGGGAAGGGGATTGCTGTGTGGTTTGTCAGCGCGGTAGCTTTTTGCATCTGGATGTGAATGGGATCATGACTTGTGTGTCTCATGTCAATTTTGTACGCTACCCCTCAATTGTCACTTACTTACACACACAAAATTCAATATCAACTATAGGGAATGCTAAGTGATGTAAATTAATGTCTGATAAACGAAAGTTAGTAAATGTTGATTTCTTTTTTTTTAATTATTTATTTAGATATATTTTACTTATATCTCAATGTTTTTTTATACATACACACAATTCCAAGCGTTATTATACGTTAGTGTCACATAGTGATACAATCTACTTAAAATACTTGATTTTCTCTCAATCCGACCTCTTGAAAATCAAGATTAGTATTACACATGAATTTTGGCCAATTTACCCTCAACCACAAGGATGTTTACATTAGGGAAAACTCCTAAAATAAAACACACAAAATGTCTTTTTAACATTACCCAAATTATACACTAACATTTAGTTTACTACCAAAAGTTGTTGTCAGTTGCAACTGGTTTAAAATGAGCATAAGTACTTCTACTACATTCATTAATGTAAAAGAAAAACCCATATAAAAAAATATCAGCTGAAATTAAGATATACACAAAATTATTACATAATTACTTAATTTTACAAGATATTTTCTTGAATACTTCTTTCCTATCATGAATAAAAAGGCCTCCAGTCAAATGTACAAAATGGCTGTTTTCAAACCTCCACCTTTTTGTTTTTGCATTTTTAATACTGGAACAAATTTGAATCTTGGGACTTCACTTTTAGTCAAAATTCTACATTTTTTATAAATTTAATCCAAATATAAACACCTGAAAACTGAATAGTAGCTGATGTCTCATGATTAATTTCAGATTTTCCTCAAGTGATGTTGACACGAATATTGATATTAGGAAAAAAGTTTCATCTAAATTACCTAAAACAGCAATAGTTTTGCATACACACAAGTGGGCACATGTATGTATGAATAGATGAAAAGCAATAAGAAAAGTCTGTAAGTTTCAATTAGATACTTGCTAATCAGTTTTGTTTTTCTAAAATTTATGTAAATTAGCTATAATTCAACAAAATTGCATTCTTTTAGTGTAGGGTTTAACTGTTTCTGAAAATTCCACTTGATTGACAGGAAGAGAGATATTTTGTTTTATCAGAGCAATAATGTTTTTCTTTAAATTCTACATAAAAAAGTTTGCCTCAAAGTTATTAAGATAACACAAGCATAATACAAGAGGATGCTAGAAAGTTTAGTCAGTTAGGTCAAGCCAAGAATATTTAATACCTCTTTGGATATACGTACATCACTAATGTTTGGGTATACTCAAAACTGTAACCCGTTTGTTCAGAGCACGGACGGACAAAATCAGTTTTAAAAAAAACTTCATTTCTTCCCAACCTTTATACTTTTAAGACATCAATCAGACACAAAAAATAAATATTACTCTATCATTCTGCCAGCTTTAATATTTTACCATTGCCTCATTTAAAAAAAAAAAAAAAAAAAGTTAATACTACTATAGTATGATATCTACCACTATTGGAAGTATGAAATATGTTAGAGTTGGGGTTAGAGTTAAAGGCGGCTGGTTACTGGTTATTTACTAAAAATCATTAACAATATTTTTTATACAAAAAAAAAAAAAAAACTTTTAAAAATGTTAAAATAGGGATTTTAATGTTTGTAAACTGATTTGATATCATTTACAAAAAATAGTTCAGCATTTTGCAGCAATAATAAGTGCATCATCATTTACAATAGGTCACAAATGACTCAGTAGATATCCTAGTATAGTAGCACCAAGTTTGTTTTTTTTTTTTTAAACCACTTCCCCGGCACAGACATGTATATGTTTTTATCGAAAGCGTCTCAGACATGGATGAATAAACACGTCTAAAAACCACCTACAGAAGTGTTTGTACATCGATCTTGATTCTTTCTATGCCCTTCTGAGCATGAAACGTCCAATTGTTAATTCATATGTCTGGTAGAAGTGTTAGCCACCACTGTTCAGGTACTTCAAGGTGCCTCAGTTTCTTAATTACTATATTAAAAACAAATAATAATTCATTTGAAAATGAAACGTTTTTCCTGAAATAAGAAAGGGGTTAATTTAAATTTGTTAGTGAATGTAGCTTTGTGCTAAATTTTCTCTGAGTTTTCTACAACAATCTAGCTCACAATTTGAGGCCAGCATACTAATCAGTGTATTGTGATTAGTCTGGTGTAAGGCCTGTGGTAAATCAGTCTATAAAAATTGAATTCACTATACAAGCAAATTAGTCGATGAGATTGTAAGCTCTTTAATGGATCTGACTTGTGATATTTAGTTAATCCCCATAGAGGCTTACAACAGTTCAATTTATTCTAGAATCAATAGTTGGCAACACCACTGACAGAAGCCTTTTATTTAGGTACCTCCACCTTTTCAGTAAAAAAGGTATAGCATGATGAATATAAAAAAAAAAAAAAAAAAAAAAAATACTATTTTATTAAACTTTTTAATCCTTTCTAGCACATTCAAAATTTTGGTTAAAACAATGTTTTTCTTGCACCAGCTGTGGGCCGAAGATTACTATGGGAATTTTATCTTTTTTGCATTAAAAAAAGTGTCTTTGAAATTTTTGCAAAAAATCAAATTGTTAGATTTTGATGAAATGTTCAAGACTTATTCAAAAATGACATTTTGGAAATTTTTTCGTTTTTTGGGGAATTTTTTTTCTTTTTTTTTACATTTTAATTTTGATAATTTAAAAATTGTAGCCCCTTATAAGAATTTTTCATCAAACAGCAAAACCATTTACTGAAAATCTGCCCCAAATCGTAAATATAAAAAAATGCAATAAAATTGACATTATTTAATTAGAAAAGGTTTTAATTGCTTTTAGAAATAAGATATATTAAGGACACAATTGTCTTATGAAAAAAATTTCAATGAATCATGAATTTTTACAATTTTTTTCTTTTCTTTTTTTAATTGTAATTATTTATAAAATTTTAAAGCAATCTGTATTAATATCTGCTTTTTAGACTATATTAAGTGTAAACTAAATTTACTAATCATAAATAAAGCTTAATGAGAATCATCAAACACTAAAATTTTAAAAAGAATTTTGAATTTTTTTCTTAAATCAGTTAATTTTCAAAGTTTCATAAAAGTGTATATTTTTTAAATAAAACAAAGAATTTTGTTTATTGGAAATATTAATTACCTTGAAATTAAAACTAAACACTACAAGAAAGATTTTCCATTTTTAAAAATTCATTTTAAACCTTAGGTATCTTTTTTTTTTTTGTGGAGGTACCTACTTTTATTTCCTTTTAGCACTAAGTAAAAATAAATAAGTGAAATTAACTCCTAAATCAAGAGCCCCATCTGTGATGAAGGCATGTAATGTAATTGTGTTGGTAGTCATGTCAAATTTTGTTTGAAGTAAAATCACCATCAGCTGTTAAAATATCAATGGTGTTTTGGGTTTTTTTTTAAATGGTGTTATAAACATTTGCATATATTTGATTTTTTTCATAAAATCTGTATTATATGGCATTAAATATTGAAAAACAAAACACTAAAAAAGTTGTTTTTTATTATACAAGAAGAGGCAAAAGAATCACCAAAAATATTAAAAGGGTGACCTTCTAAATGAAGATCTCAATCTGTACACAGCAGCATCAGCCACCAATTTTTTGTCCATTTTACAGGTCAGTGCTTTTTAACAGTTGGCAGGCAACTCCATTTACTGGCAATTTTTTCCGTAGCAGTGTTTGGATATAGAATCAATAATATTAAAAGTAGAACAAAAACAAAAAATCTACTCAGGGAAAGGAGATTATCACATTTTCAAAATAAAATGTATTTGCTTTTTCTTAATTTTTAAACTTCCCTTCCTGTTTGAGCCAGAGGTGACAAAAACAGCAAAATAATTTTTCAGGCAAATCAAAAATTAAGAAAATTTAATCAAAATGGAATAGTTATTCTTTTTAATCTACAAGTCTTCAGTAGCCTTATTTCATAGAAGAGCTTGCATATCTCACAATAAAATAAATATCACAAAGACCAAGAGAATAAAAAAAATGACTAATGCATAAACTGATGCTTGTGTCCATTAAGGACATGTACAACCTCATTCCACAAAAGCAATGAAGATTGTCTATCAAAAAGGGAATGAGAGAGGGTAGAAAAACTGACAAATTCAAGAGAATACCATCAAAGCCAACTAGTAGTTCTCCATTAATTATAGTTGTGTGTAAAAAGGAAAAAAATTGATTAAAGAATTTTCAATAATCCAAACAAAACATCAGAAAGAAGGCCAGATAAAAAAAAAAAGAGGGGGGGGGGTGAATTTGTTTTAAATAAAGCATTTTGCATTGCCCACCAAACTGCCAAGTTCTGTGATTTTGTGTGCATGTATCTCACACACACCCACCCACACACACATGGTTCAGGCTGTAGAGTGGCTTGACATGAGTGAAAGAGAGGGATGGGTGAGGGCTGTGCCCACTAAAATGATGAAGAGATTGAATGTTATGAACAATAATTAATGACGTCGACCTCGACTCCGACTCCTTGATGCTGGTCGACGATTCTGGCGCCAACTACTGTCATCTCTCTTGTCCTTTCGGTTTCGATCTGGACTAGCAGCACTACCACCTCCACCAGCTCCACTGCCTCCTCCACTTCCTCCAACACCACCACCACTTCCTCCTCCACCACCACGTCTTTCCCGATCTGGCCGATCCTTAAGAAAAGTAAAAGTAAAATGAACATCAGAAAACTATATATAAGCCCTCATATAAGAATATTGGCATGTTTAAAAAGGGTTCTTGTTCTTGCTGTTTAAATAGTTTAGTTAGTTAACTTCATTCTAAAACCTCGCCTTTGACTAACAGCTGCCACACCTAGACATTTCTAAGTGTCATTAGTATAATTTTGTTTACTGTGCAGATTATAGAGAAATATTAAAAATATCAAAAATTATTTTATGCTTTATATTTTTTGCTGAACAGAGTGACTAATGTTGACAGCAATCAAATCAAGACATTACATAAGAATAATCAATATTATGCATTGCTAGAGGTCAATAGACTGAAAATATTCCAATTATGGTAGCAAGCCACAAAAAGTGACCAAAATTCATCAAAAGAAAAGGCAATAATATTCCATAAGGATAACACTAGTCTGTTTCTTTAGTAACCAGGAATAAAATGGTGACAATATTTGGAAGTTGCCTGAAAGATGAAAGAAAATAGAAGACAAAAACTGCATTGAAAATAACTGCACCTTATTAAAATCTGGATAAAATAAGGAAATTCTTGTAACTTATAACAAAATGTTATTGGAATTCTTCAAAAATATCATTTCTTCTAATTGCTCTATTGAACAAAACAGTTGTAGACTAAAACTAGAAAAAAAAAAAAAAAAGGGAAGAAAACTTACCTTCCTCTTTTCTTCCATTTCTCTCCTCTTTTTGCGTTCAGCTTCTTCTTGCTTCTCCAATTCTCGACGTCTTTGTTCTCGTTCCAATTGCCGCTGACGTCGTTCGCGTTCTCTTTCAGCAATCTAATAAGATATAGATGGCATCAATACTGGCCCACATGAAAAATAATACTAACTTTATATATCTAAGGAGAAATTAATAAAATTGCAGTATATTTTATTCTAAATTAAAAAAGGAAAATTGATTAATACAAACCTGCGTCTCTGTCAAAGGAAGCCAATATATGTAAGGTGTAGTCTTGGTTTTTCTGAACAAATCATCAAGTAATTTTGCAGGAGCTTCTTCTTCGACAACTTTCTTCTCTTTTAACATAAAATGAGAATTTTATCATTAAAACAATTTTAAAATTTGAGAAGAGCAGTACACAATTAAAAATACTAAAACAATCACAAGTTGATTATTCTTAAAAATGATTAAATGAAACAGCAAAAAATCCTAACCTTTTCTTTCTCTCTTTTCTCGACTCATTGCTCGTCTTCTCCTTTCTCTTGAACGAGATCTTGAACGAGAACGAGATGCAGAACGTGATCTCCTTCGAACTTTTCCTCTATCCCATTCACGTACTTTCTTTGTCTCTTCTTTCTTTTTTATTTCTCGTACATTTTTTTCAGTAGATTTGACAGCCTTCACTGTAACATCCTGCTGAATCTCTCGAATGATGTCTTGGGGACCATCTTCTCTAGATCTATAATAGTTCACCTGAAAAAGTGAGTGAATGCAAAAATAACTTATAATTAAGAATAGACAGATTATAATTTATAATTAAGAATAGACAGATTATAATTTATAATTAAGAATAGACAGATTATAATTTATAATTAAGAATAGACAGATTATAATTTATAATTAAGAATAGACAGATTATAATTTATAATTAAGAATAGACAGATTATAATTTATAATTAAGAATAGACAGATTATAATTTATAATTAAGAATAGACAGATTATAATTTATAATTAAGAATAGACAGATTATAGATTATAATTTATAATTAAGAATAGACAGATTATAATTTATAATTAAGAATAGACAGATTATAATTTATAATTAATTAAGAATAGACAGATTATAATTTATAATTAAGAATAGACAGATTATAATTTATAATTTATAATTAGAATAGACAGATTATAATTTATAATTAAGAATAGACAGATTATAATTTATAATTAAAGAATAGACAGATTTATAATTAAGAATGACAATTTATAATTAGAATAGGATTATAATTTATAATTAAGAATAGACAGATTATAATTTATAATTAAGAATAGACAGATTATAATTTATAATTAAGAATAGACAGATTATAATTATAATTTATAATTAAGAAAGAATAGACAGATAGATTATAATTTATAATTAGAGAATAGACAAATTATAATTTATAATTAAGAATAGACAAATTATAACACAAATTAGAATAGAATGAACAAATTATAATTTTTTAAAAAAAAACAAGAGAAAGAAACACTTACCTCATCATCTGTGGCATATTCAACCCGTAAAATCTTAGGATTTGATGAGGGCCACTTGGTCCCATGAAGAGCTTTTCTTGTTAATATAGCTTCTTCTTCTGTTTCATACTAAATAGAATAGACAAAGGAATATATAAATATAATTACATGAACTGAACATATGGAAAATTAATATGCTAATTAAGATTAGTAAAAAATAGATCTAGAATGTGCAACTTAGAATACACTTAAAGACACCATATTCTAAAAATAAAAATTTAGAGTCAGTACATATTAATGTATTTTCTGAACTTTTTCAGCAAAAATATAATTTAGTTAACCATTAAAACAAGTAGTTTCAAAATTTAATTGATTTAAACCAAGATGTTAGCAAAATCTTAAATAATCTCAATTCAAAATCATCCTCACCTTGGCAAAACAATGAGATTTGATTTTATCAATCCAGAATCCATTTTCCACAACTGTACCTGTCCTCTTCAAAAGTTCTTTGAGCTGCCCAAGAGTGAAGGGACGAACTAAGTTTCGAACATGGATTATCTTACTGACTGGATTGTGAGCTGGGGACGGAGACCGGCGAGCTGCCATGGGCTCTTCAGGCTCTGGCACTGACATCTGGTGACTCACCCGGCGGATGGTGACAGGAGTGGTCAGAGCAGATTTGTTGCATACAACAACAGTGGTTGATGATTGCTGGCCTGATGACTGAGATGAGATTTGTTCTGAAAAAGTCAAAAATAAAGTTATTACTAATAATGCTCATTTTAGAAAAAAAAAATAAAAATATTTACAATAATTTCTTTATTTTTACTGTCTAAATGTTAAACATTTAGTTAATAACAATTAAATAAATTCATTGAGATTCCATGGAGCAGTGAAGAAAAAATATTCATGTTGTGGAGAAGAAACAAAGAAAAGCTACAAGTGGTTCCAATAATTTGTCACATGGATCAGTTGTAAGCAGAGAAGAAATCCAAATGTTGAAGGTTAAAACAACTGAATGCAGACATGGTTATGTTACACAAAATGTTTAACAGTCTACAGTCTGGAGTTCTAATACACTTGAAAATTATAAATTACACACTTTAATTCTTACTGCTACACATATCAGCTATCTAGACTACTCATGGTTTGTGAATGTCACAAAAATTCTTGACTGTTGAACATTTCCTGTAAGTATAGAGGTTTTAATGAACAAAACTACAAATAGAAATTCTCAAAAAAAGACTACACATTTTAGCTACCCCTACTACTCATGGCAAAGAACACAATGTTAACATTTTTTCAGTTCGTCTAACTTAGTATTCAGCTCCTCTTCCAATTTTGATATCTCTACGGATTTGTCCTTTGCAGATCTTCTCATGGCATTGAAGATAATTGTGAAGTTCAGAGTCTGCTCAGCTTTCTCAGCATAGCTGTCAGCTGACTTAAGTAAATCTTGTGTGCAACTTTCAAGCTAGTGTTTTTTGGTCTTTAGTTCTTCAATTTCAAATAAGCATGGATTTCTGTTTTTGTTCAGCTACTTCTTCCTTTTCTTCTTAGCCTCAAGGTATTAGTTGGATGTTGTTCTGACTTTGGAAGCACTATAAAGAGCCTTGGTCATGGGAACATTCCCAGCACCTCAAACTTTCACCAAATAGTCTGTGATAATGCATTATGCAACTAGAAACCTCTCTCCACTAAGGCTTGTCCACGAGAGATTACTAGCAATCTGCAAACAACTTTCCAGAGTTTTTGATATTCTTTGTTGCTAGACAAAGAAGAGTAGAACAAAGTGTCTAGAGAGTCTTTATGCTTGCTGAAATTCTTGAAAGCAATATTTCTAGCAGCTTTCTCCTCAACCTCTTTGCACTGATTGATGTTATCATCGCAATCAGACTGACTTGTTTTCTATCCATCATTTGGGAAAAACATCTTTTTAGACTGTCTTCTGTGGCAAATCTTTTTTCACAGATGGATCCATGGTTCAGCCATGCAAGTGAGCTTGCAAGACGGTACCAAAGGGGAGACTTTGCCAGAAGTTTCTCAATGGTGGTGATGAACATTTGTTGCAATTCTTCAAACAGGTCTTTTGACATATTTCCCTTTTTTTTTGGATATATTTTGCATAGCCTTATCTGCCAGAAATCCACAATCTTTGCAGCATCATTGGGTTTGACAAAATTCTTACAAATTCATTTAGTTTGGAAAATGTAAGTTTCATGATCATACTAAAAAGATCATCTGCAAGGATATTAAGCAATGATTTATTGCTCTAACATTTTATCAGAAACAGTTCAATGTCTTTTGAAACAGACACAAAAATTTGCATTTTCACTGGAAATAAAATGTCATTCATGTTTGACAGCATCACAGAGGACATTTTTCTGTTTTTTTTTTTTAATTAATTTAAAAAATATGATGATTTAGTCAAATTGTCTTGGAGTCATTCACATGTTTGTACATTTTCTAGTCATCTATGGCAGAAATACAAAAGTAAAGGAGTAGAGTTTCCAGATTGAACTTTTAATAGAAAGCCAAACAATAAAATCAAAATAAGTTTTAATATATTTCATTTTTTTCACATAACAAAAGCTAGAGATACAGGTCATTTATTAGCCTGCAAACTTTAAAAATAACCTTTTTTTATTTTTTCAAAGACATTTTCTATAGTTCCCAGTTACATTTTTGAGTCAATCTTGTTACTTTTGGCAACAATTTAGACAAATGTAGTTTACACATAGATACACATTGACACAGGACACATAAAACATGAACTCACCAACCAATGGCTAAAGATCAAAAGGACTTTTTACTTTTGAAATTGACATGTGAATAAAACTTCAACTGTTTAAATTTTAAAAAACATTGATAATTTTTTGAAATTCGAAAATGTATTTTATTACTGTAAAATAATTTATTATTTTCCTACAAATTCAATGGGCATGAATTAATTTATCTTTGATGGAGACGTTTCCTTGTCTCTGATGCCTTTTATCTTTGCTTTTCCTCTTTTCTTGTTGAGTGAAGGTAGCAGGCTAGAAGACACACATAGTTTTTTCTCCCTTTCTTTCTCATGACCTAGATGAGAAAATACAGAACTAACTATGAGGTCATGACCTCATTCTAATCAAGGAAACAAACAATTGCCAAATATTACTGACAACTAAAAGAAATTTCCTTAGCTTCTATAAAAAAAAAAAAAAAAGCTAGATTTCTGGGATTTGGCATTTTGATTTTCCTAAATTGAGGAAAGGGATATTGTGAGCAGCTTAATTTAGAAAATTTCAGGGTTTTTCAGCTTTTGGGATACTGCTGTTTTCCAGGACATTTCAAACTCTGGTAAAGGTCCTGTCAATTTTCCAAGACCTGTACAAACCCTGTTAATTACTAATAGCTACTTAACTATGAAGGGATGCTGAATGTTCTTAGTTTAAACCACTTATCAAAAATCTGATCAAATAGATTTGTTTTTTTTAACAGCTTCATAAGAAAAAAGAACTTTTTAGTGACCCCTCAATACAGGCTAATATAATTCCAAGTAAATTATTAGCTCTATAGAATGGCAATCTTTGACCAAAAGAAACTATTAAAATAAAAAAAGTGAAATGTTTAGAAAAGTACAATGAGAATGAATTTCACCTCTTTCTACGGAGATGGTTCCAGTTGAAGCTCCAGTTGTCACAGGAATGATGGCTGGCTTGTCTAATTCTAAGTCAAGATCTGTTACTCGTTCACGTGCCAAAAGTGTTGGTTCTATCTCCTCCTCCTCTTCTTTCATCTAAAACAAAACAAAAATTTAGTTTTCTCAAATCCAAGAAACAAGAGACTTAGAACCAAATCTTCTGAGGTCTGTACTAGTTGTAATAATTTGTATCTTTACACAAAAAAAGTCAAACATACAATAAATAATCATTGTTTAAGGTGCATGAATTATTTTCAACCAATTTTCATGTGATCCAGACATTCAATTCAATCGTTATAGAAAAACTAGATTACTAAGAAGAGGTACTAGTAAGATTTTATTCATTAGTCACAAAGAAAACATTGAATAAAAATATTTTCCCCACATCTTTTTTTAATTTTGCTTGTATAATGTTCTCATTCTCATAATTGAATCAATTAAGTGTGAATGGAGGTAGGGTTAGAACACTGCATATTAGAAAATTTCTAAATCTAGTCCAGTGTTTCCCCCAACCTAGCATACTAAATTCATGTGTCATCAATGTAGTGCCAGTTTGGAAACACTGATCGAGACTATTTAAAGTTAATCATTTTGAGTCAAATATTTTCAGTTTTAAAATTCAATAACCATTAAAAAAAAAAAAAAAAAAAAAAAATATTCACCTGTACAGTTCTCCTGAATTTGACTTCAGTTTTTTCTTCTTCATGGTCAGAGAAAGAACACTCATCATGACTTAGTTCCAGGATTGCTTCTTTAATAGAGCTGGGTTTGATCTCAGGAATTAAACCCTACAACAGTAAAATAAAAAGATACTATGAAACACAAATTATGAGACAATATATATATCAGAATTTTCATTCCAATTTATACAACTTCTCAATGTATAATGAAGAGGGATTTTAAAACCATAACTTAAAAAAAAAAAAACATGTTCAAAATGCCAACTTCATACAAAACAGTCCCATGCAGGACACTATAATTTTTCTTAGCTTGTGTTAGTCAGATGTTAACAAATCAAAAAATAGAATCATTACCCATTAAAAGCAAGATACACTAATAATAGGCAAATATTTTTGTAAATATTGACTCCTGACAATTGATGCAGAATCAATAGATTTCTTAACAAGCTGACATTATCTGTTGAAAGTTAATGATAACAGAAAAAGAGATTTTTACCTTAAGCGAATCTGTGGAAATATCAATTGTGGTAGATTTATTTGGTTTGGCACTTGTTCCCCACTTTCGTTTACGTGGAACACTTGATGTGGATGATGACATCAGTGTTGCAGGTTTTTCTTCAGATTTCTCTTCTCCTTCAGTTTCATCACGTTGCAATTTCACTGTTTTTACAAATATATGCAACAAGTAATTATGAAAGATTCAGTTACTTTTATCACAATAAATTACACATTTCTGATTTTATACATAAGAAAAGGAGTAGCTATGGTCCAAGTTAAATGTTTCTCTTTTTTTCTTTGAAAATTACACAGCACTTATTTTTATTAACATTACTTAAAACAATAACTTTGCTACTTGCATAAATATAAAATGTCTTCAGAGTTTGTCTATATTTCTGAGATGAGGTATTATGTACAGTACGTTGTGACAAATATGGCGACAAAGATGAGGACAATAGTCCGACTAATGTAAATACTGTATAAAATGTCTTATTTGGCAATAATATAAGTGATAGATGAGACAGTTTATTATTTACAACTAATTTGTTTAAATAATTCATTGCCTACTGTTTGTATCACTTGGAAATAACTAAGTAAAATGATGCACTAAAATAAGTAACCAAGTAACCATTTTAAGCTTTCTAAATATCAACGCCATTTTTTAAATTTTAATATTCATTTCTGATAATTAAATGCATCTTTCAGAAAAATTACATACAAGTGGTATCATAATTGACTGAAGTGGTCAGTGTAAAAGCTCAAATTGACCATATCAAAAAGGAAAAGGTGCACCTGAAAACCTGAATGGTGAGCTGACTGAGCCAATCATCTAATATGTTGGCATCAACAGTAATTTTCTTCCAAAAATCTTGAAATTGAATAAGGGTTTGACAAATAACTAATTAACTATACCTCATGTGTGCTTCCCATAAAACCATGTCACTTTTCCTGAACTGCAGGTATTTGAGAAAGAAAACATTTCACTCAAAATATTTTTTTCTTTGACCCTAATCCACTTTCCCAGAACTAAGTTATTACACAATACAGAAACACATTACCCAAGTAACCATCCATGTCAATTAGACAACATTCTAAAAAGTGATACATAAGTACTACTAAATGATTTTTACTCAATTGTAATGGCCAATCTTAGATAAATTTCATATCTCCAGCCCCATGCTGATCACATTTCTCAATTATTTTTTTTTTATTACTTTATTACTCTTGTTCCAACTAAATACAAGATCTTATAAGAATGAATATGCAACATATTCCAATCATGTTCCAGCTATACAATAATAGAAAAATCATTTACAAGTAAATGTATTTGATCATTCAAATCTAAACATGCATTGCTGAAGTATTTCTGATATATAGGATAGATATACATTTCATATTTAATGAAGAAATATCCATATCGAAGAAATGATAAAATGAAATTTTAAGATAAACTTTTCTTTGAAAGAGTCAAAAGAATCTCATAAAATGATACAAAGAAACAATACTAACAACACAATTGTAAAGATGTCCTCGGAGTGCTGTCTGTCAAGTGATCTTTAAACTCTCCTGGCTGAAAAATAGTAATTAACATTAAAAAGCAATTCTTATTCATTATGCAATAGAAATTAGTTATGCTAGATAATTGAGCTTACAATGAAAGCAAAAATTAACAATCAAGAATGGATTTTGTTGCTCTAATGAAGAAAATGAGAATAAGCTATTATGAAAGTTACCTACTGTACAAAGGGATTTGACAATTTCACAGGTAAACAATAACTTTGATCCTTGCCAGTAGACTAAAATCACCTAACTAGACAGTACCTTGAAGAGAGTTAACATTTTACCCAATCACTTTTGTTCAAATGTTTTCCAACAAAATTCATTTGCATTATGAAGTATAGTAAGGCTGAATCAACTATTGGCTGTAACAACACTTTAGTATTTTAGTTGTAAAGAACTATTGCAAAATTTATTTTAGATTTCAGTCTTTAAAAATGGTTCAGTTTTGGAAAGTTTATAATTTTGAAGTAATTATCATTATGTCAACATCACCAATAAAAAATGTAGAGGTTTCCCAACAAAACTTTTAAAAAAAATCATTAAAAATGATTGTTTATTGCAAAAATATTGTTTGTAATTTTCTTATTTCTCAATCATACATTTTAAGGAACTTTTATTATAATTCATTCAAATACATCTAAGTTATTTTTTAACTTCAAATATTACCAATTAAAAATAACAAAAGTACATATGCATGAATCCTGTAAATAAATCTTAATAGATTTGTTTACATTAGTGACAAAAATCCAAGAGACCTATCAGAAAGGTTACATATTAAAATGAAGTATTGGAGCCTAAGACAAATAAAACTTGGTGGTAAATGGATACACAACTAGGGGGAAAAAAATTGACAACATGTCCTAATGCAAAATAATACAAATTCAAAAAATTGAAGAACGCAATTATTCAAATTGTTTTTTTAAATTTACTAAACTTAAAGAAAGGTTAACACGTAATTTTGCAGACAATTAAGTGGGTGTGAATACCTTCATAAATAATTATAGTACAGATAAAAAGCAAATTAAATCTTACATTTACATGGATAATCAGGATTATATCTGCATTGCATGAAATTAATCAATTACAAAAAATTTAATCAATAAAACTAAAAATAATCATGGGAGAAGTGTAATAGAAAAATATACAACTAAAAATTATATTTTTATCCTAGAGCATCATGCAAAAGATAAAATTCTCTTACTGTAAAGATTGCATTATCTATTACATAAAGGGCAAATTGCTAAATATAATCTTTAAGCTATTATAAAGATAAATGATAAAAACAAGTGATGATGATGATGATGATGATCTAACAGAGCATATTTTACATTATGAAAAGAGCAAGTGGCCAAAGTATTCATTGCTGGCCAATGCAAGCATTGGCAAAATACCAGCCTCAAAAAGTGCTCTCTGTCTGCTGCTTCCCGAGAGAATGGACAAACAAGCAACCCTGCAGGGAGAGAGCATCAGACCTGTCAGCTCATCTGACAGATCAGGTGACGATGAACAACGGTGAAGATGAGGTCGGCTCCAGTTTCAGCAAACAGCACCAGCAGCAGTCGCAGCTCAGCAATGGGCGTGACTCAAGGGCATGGGACACAATAATATCTTCTTCTGGTGGTGGTGGTGGTGGTGGTGGTAGTAGTTATCAAGAAAGCCAACATTGGCTCTCTGCTGGGTGGAGATGGAGAATGTAGATTGTAGGAATACAGTTCATTCATAACCAGATTGTTTTGGTTGGATGATGAATTGTTTACTGCTGACATTTGGATCAGTTGCAAAGTAAGATTTTTTTTCCAACTTGTCAACATTAAATTGGGATAACTTTAAAGAAAACTCTTAAAAATAGGAGTTAAAGTCCATGCAAAAGGTGGAGTAAAAACGTTCAAGATTGTTGGTTGAAATGCAAATTAGATTGTAGGTAAATCAAAATATGAGCTTTGAAATAACGTAAAATATACTTTTAAAGATATATATTTGAAAATATTGATTTTCTGAATGATCAAACAAATGTTGTAAAAATAGAAGTTCACTGTTATAAGTGGGTGTGTAGATGAATTCATGTTCCATAGAAATGGTCTTGATGATTTGAAAAAGCAAGAACTGTGGTCAACAATGACAAAATTATAAAATCAACCAGGTTGACAAAAGATTTTATGCAAAATGTAAAAAATTGTGTAGAATAGCTTAAGTCCTCATTCTTTATGCCCAAGAATTCAAACATTACTTTAGTTGGAAAGACAATGTTTTCAAGTAATGTAAATAAATATGCTTATGAGCATTTAATTTTTTTTTTTTTTTTGAAAGCCAAGATGAGAACAAACAGTGCTTGATATTAAGCCAAAGAATTTTATGTGTGTGTATGCATGTGTGGATCAGTGTGTCATCTGTATTTCAAGTCGCTATTTTAAGATATGCTGATCAATACAAAGAGATCAATCATACTGCTAATCTTTCCAGATACACATGAATATTTCACAAATTCAAGCCTTGGTTATTAATATATTGGTTCTTTTCCATAATGCCATGCTGATAGGATTTATCAAAGTCTCTTTGTAAGCTTCCCCTTTTGTGGGGTCATTTATACATTATTTTGTTTATGCAACGCCAGGCAGTGTTAAGTGAAAGTCTTTCAACTTTGATCAGTAGTTGTTGGTATGAAGATATCATCATTTGTTTGCATGTTGATTGGTTGCCGAGTATGGTCATGATTTTGTGCTAGAAACTTTGTTTTCCATTTTCTTTTTTTATGCAATTTGAATGAAAGTCTTTGGGTTCAGTAAGGATGAAATTTTAAGCTGGAAAATTCCCAGCAGATAAATTTCCTTCAATCTCTTTGACTAGAAAAATGTCAGCTTGGAGAAAATGTTGATTATTCCAAAAACATTTGGAATAGTATGAAGGCACAGCAGAAGGATGACAACAACAATTATGACAGAAGTCAAGCTCTAGTCTGCAATGATGGCCTTTGTCATTTAGTGGATTTGACACACTTGTTGAGTAAGGAATCCTTTTCTGTTCAGGTAGACAGCTTCTCCTTTCCTGCATATCAACGACTGGTAACATCACAAGGGATCAAGGGTGAGAGCCGCAAGTCAGGTAACAATTTCACAGACCAAAACCTAGAAGCGCCTGATGTTGACGATCGCCCCTCGACTGCTCCCAGATTTGCAATTCTCTATTGCATTGAGTAGACAGTAAGGTGAAATTAAAACAATGGGGAGGAACTGTACAACAAAAATATCGTCAAATAGGAGTAGGAGGAGGAAAAGGAGGGAGTAGAAGGGAGGCACATTCAGCGCTTACCTTGAATTTTGAGTCGACTTTTAATTCCAAAAAAGAAGTTACACAACTAGGTGGAAGCTTAGCTGTATTCAGTCAAGAAAACTGTATTTGAGGGTGTTTTTTTTTGTTTTTTTTTTTGTTTTACAAAAAAATATAAAATAAAACAACTGAAATGTACATTGATAAGCTTTTAATACTAAGAAGCAAAATAAATAGGAATTTATCCCTCACCCAAAGTAAATAAATACAGGTCAGAGAGAAAAGTATTACAGGCAATAAAAATTTATTGTATTTTTTTTCATATTTGATAAATTAGAAAAACACTAAGAACCAAATAAAGTGGAATTCTTTAATATTTTATTTAATTATAATAAACCTTGTTAGTTTTAAATTAATATCTTATGGATAAAATGGAAACTAAACTGAAGATAATTATTTTTAATATGAGAAAAAGATACAGAATGAATAAAGATATTGTAGAATTTAACTGAAAAATCAGCTTAGCATAATAAATCATAAAATTGTAAATTTTCCAGATGTAATTTTTTTTTTATAATACTGGTTTGATTTGCTTTGACAAAAAGTGAATTTTAAATTCTTTATATTTACATCTAACTGTATTGCAACTATTACATCAGTGTACATTTCAGTTGAACATGTGTCCCACAAACATTTCAGAGTCTACAATGTGTGCCAAGAAATGAAAAATAAGGGGTGGCTTGAAAAGGGGAAAAAATTGCCAAGATTATATAAATACAAAAATTTGCAATAATAAAATTAACATTTTTTTTCATATTACACTATCTTGTTTTCATTATGTTAATGACACCAATATGATAGTCCATTTTATATGCAAGTAATTTATGAATTTTTATCACAATGTATAATTAAACAATATTGCCTAGTTTTATATTTTGTGTGCTCTACTCATGACAAAGTATAAATATCATCACACAATGAAAGTAATGCCTTATCAAAAAAATATATAGAGAGAGCACATTAACATTGGATAAACCAAGATTTCAGCTACAAAACACTAGCTTTCTACATTCACCATAAATGCAAAGGCATTCTTCATTCCATAGGTTCCTAACTGTGCAGGACTGTACAGATCATATATCACTGTCAACATTGCTTAAAAACAGCTCGCTGCCTGTGTTCATAGCCACTGTTATGCAATCATTGATGAATATCAATCGGTAAACTTGTTTTTCTGCATGGAGGAATTCACTATCATATTGTTGGTTCATACACTTGACACTTTCATGTCGGACACTATTTTACCAGGTTGTCACTCAGCAGCTATCTATAAAAAGGGAGAAAAAAAATGATGGACTGGCAAGTAGATTCATCCACCATATTATCAATATCAGCCTCTGGTTTCATGGCCCAGCACAATGAAATAGGAGGCATTACATTTGGAGGAGCATATATATATATATATATATATATCAATGCTGTCAAAGAAGGGAAGAATTGTCAATTTTAATTGTATTAAATTTAATTTTAGAAAAAATTGTTAAATGTTAAAAAACAAATAATTGTTTTTACATTTTAGGAAACTGAAAAGTTTATTTTTGAAAGTTCAAGTAAAATGTATGGCTGATCCTCTGCTTGGCAATGCATTAAATAACTTACAAGATCAATCAAGTTTCACATTCAGAGGCACAGGTGTAGATTCTGAAGTAGTAAAAATACTTCAGGTAACAACAAAAAGAAAGGATGACATCTGCATGAAAGAATACCATGTTAGAAATCTGTTTAGAAAGCAAACTTCTCTTCTCTAACTTATTTGATATTGTATAGTTGACAAATTTCAATACACTAAAAGGGACCTAATATTTTATAACTGAAATTATGAGATAAAAAAGATACTCATAGCAAAGTTTACATATGTGCATAAATCATTTTTAATTCTTATTTTCTATTAAATACTTGATACAATAGAAAATTAATTTAAATTTTGGTTAATCAAATTTATTAACTCATAACAAAAAAAAAAAATCATTAAAGACAAACGCTTTCTGAATTAAGCTTCACATACAAAACACTTACAGAAATAGTAGGCTATCTGCCATAATGAATAAAACATCATTGATTCCCAACTTCAAATAGTTTTTGTAAACTTTTTATTAGCCGAGAGAGAAAAAGAGAACAAACTCTTATTGATAATTTTCATTGATAGTACCACTCAAGCTTCCTACCCTTTCACTTAATATCTTTGTGTGCTAGTAAAAGTCAAGAAAAGAGAAAGGAGTAATTAATTTAATATTTCCATAATTTTGCTTTCTATTCATCAATTAAATGTGCTACATGAGAACAGAATGAGGTTACTTCAATAATTACATGCAAAATAGAAAATACAAAAAGAATTGAATGATGAGATTAAATTTCAAAAAGTCAGATCACTAATGCTTCAGCCCCTTTTAACAGATTTTAATTTTGCTGCTAGCAATTTGGCCTTTGTTAATTCAGTAGTTTTATTGAAAGTTATTTGTCACTCAGTACATATTTTTTGACAAAATAGGCATAGAAACTGATTTTCGGGTTGACATCAGAGTAGAAGAAAAAAATGGGGATCATTTGAACAATTCATTATAATTTGATAACTAGTTTTTTTTTTCCCTTTAAAGTGAATTGTAAATAAAAGTAATCTGACATTAAAAAAAAAAAAAAAAAAACATTTTCCACTGCTACTGCTTGGAATTATTTTTCTAATTAAGAAGGGCAGAGAAAGAGGGCTGCCACCTCAATCAATTTTTACCCTACTTAGATGTTTTTTTTAATAATCTTTCTCTAAAGAGAAAGTAATAATGGCAGACTTTCATGTAGATCCACAAGTACATGAATGACAATATTAACAAAATCGTGCAGGACACTTGGATTCAAATACAGAATTTAGTCACTTGTTTTCACAAGTGGGAATACAGTAGCAAAGGAGATATAAAGCCATATCAAGAGCTGATGGCCAATAAAAATTTGGGCAATGGGAAGGATTTGACAGGCCTGCAGAGGCAAAAAAAAAAAAAAAAAAAAAAACTAATAAAACTTCTACAGAAATATTTTTGTGATTTTAAAATAAACAAAATAAAAAATAAGACATTTATTAAAAATAAAAAAAAAAAGAACAGTATCCTCCCCAAAAAAAAAGATGAAAGATTAACTGGAATATCTTACCTCATTACCCTCGCTCACTGAATTGCCTTCTTTACGCTGAGCCACATCATTCTCTAAATCACTACAAGATAAAGTGGACATTTGAGTTAACAGTAACATTATGACAACTGCAGAGAAATAAATTAAGCCACAGAAGCAGTAGGAAAAAATTAAGAAATGAAAAGGATTAAGAGAATATTAAAGAGACATCAGACCAGCATACAAAACAGCCTTGTTTGAAATATTGAAACTATGATATGCCAAGGTCCATCTAACAGAATTTTGACTAATCAAATCAATAACTTAAGAGCAATGATTCTGAATGACTTATTTGTGCTTTTCTTAAAATTAATTTCAAATAAGTCAAACTAGTTATATATACTACATAGATGTTAAAAGAATTTTATAAACAGTATTTCACATGTATAAAAAAAAATTACAATCTTGAATTGTTCATTTCAATTTTGTTTATTAGAAAAGAGCAGAATAAAAAAGCAAATGAATTTAGTAGATTTTATAGGAGGCCCCATGTTTACAATACCAAATATGACTAACCTATCAGCTGCAAGTTCTCCATCTTCTTTTTCTTCTTTCCCTTTCTTTTCATCCTTTTCCTCAATTTCCTTTTCTGGCTCCTTAGTGGCAGCAGCTATTTCTACCTCTGTGGCTGGAGGTTTATCTGTTTCCATAGGTATTTCTTCCTTGGGATTCTGGAATTAAATTTCTTTCTTATTGTTGAAGGATTCATTGGAATGAAAATAAGATTTCCGACAAAAATATAAGTCTCAAAAGTATTTGATGTTAGGTTTTCTTATTGTTAAATCTAACATCAGCTGATTCATACAAGATGTATATTTAAATATTTTGGAGATGAAACTGCATATATTAAATAAGTTGTTAATAATTTTTGCAGTTAACTATATCTAGAGACAAAGTCATTAGAATTATTAAAATATAAGAAAGCAGCATGTAAATCACAAACCACTTAGAAAAGAAGTTATGTTCAAAATAATTTAAAACATAATACCTGGGTTCAACAACACTAAATAGTGGAAATTATGAAAAAAATTATTTAGAGTCAATTTGATTACTGCTGATCGTTTTAAATGAAAATTCTCAGTAAAAACAAAAAATAGTGATTTAAATATTTTTTTTTTAAATAAGTAGCTCTATACCTGAGGGTGACATATTTTACAGGACAATAAAAGATGATCTTTCTAAAAATAGAATCTTGCATATCTACTCATTAATCTCACAAGATCAATCAACTTAATTTAGGTACCTCCATGAGATCGCTTAAAAAAAAAAAAAAAAAAAAAAAAAAAAAAATGATAAAATGACAAAAAAGATGAAAACAGACTTTTATCATATAAATGCTTATGTTATTATTAAGAGGAAAGACCAAAGTTTATTTTAATTATTTTTAAAAATGTTTTCCTTCTTTTTAGAACATTCTAAATTTTGATTAAAAAAAAACTTGTTTCTCTTTGTATCACTGGAACTAGTAAAATAACATACAATTTTTAGCACATTTTTTTTTTTTTTGTATGACACATTAATTTGGAAAATCTTGCAAAAATAAAAATAATTGTCGGATGTTAATGAAACTTTCAGAAACTATTCACAGATGATCGAAATTATTATAAATTTTTTTTTTTTTTTTTTATTAAAGTCATGGCAGAAATATTTTTTGAAAAACGCTAGAAATTCGATGACATCTGGTTTAGTGATTACAATAGTTAAAAGCACACGGCTTTGAGGAATGTTTTTTTTTTTTTTTTTAATTGGAACCCCCTACCTGAAAATCAGCTCTAAATTGTAACATACGAAAATCAATAAAGCAAATATATTATTTAATTTCAAATGCTTTTATCTGCTTTTAGTTGTTTTTATGAATATGGAAAATATTTTCTGAAAGCAAAAAAATTTTTCGATGAAAAATGAATTTTTAATACAATTATTTGTTATTTCTTTAATTATAATACATTTAAGTTGTTAAAATATAAAAGTTAAAAGCCACATCAAGTGTCCTTATGAGATAGATCTTTTTTTTAGCGCGTTGTAAATTGTATCATTTTGACTAATCAGAAGATCTGCAGTAATTAAGAAATGTAATTTTGTGCTTATAATCAGGCTGTAATTATAAAGTACGGAAGACCAACCAGAATACAATTTAAGTTGTATTATTTGAATTAAGCAAGTGTACTGACAAGTATCAGTATCATCTTATGAAATTTATATCTTATTTTTATATTAATCTAAGTTATGACATTTTTCCATAAATGAAATATCAAAATTAATATTAAAGTGAATGGAAATACAAATAACACAGTAAAATGTAATAAATGTACATAAAATTATAGTATTTTATGTACACTTCTTTCATAAGGAAGGTACCTGTAAACTAATTAGATACCTTTCTTATGAAATATGAAATTTAATCTCTCTTAATCTTATTTTAATTTCTTTATAATATATTTTCCATGAAGTAAAGGTGAAAGCCAAGTACAAAAAAAAAAAAATTACAGCGCTGAAAGTTTTCCTTAAAAATAACGAGGTAAATAATTTGTTCACTTAAATGTAAATTATTTCACTTTTCTCCTTCCATAGAAAAAATTATCCTCATGGAATCCATCAATATGTCATTCATCACCTGTCAAGTGAAGTGAAAGTTTATGACCTACTTTGTTTTATTTTCAAATTACATCTTTTCGGCACAGAAGCTCTTAAGCTTGGTTCAAAATATTTTAAATAAACATTATAATTTCTGATTTTCTTAAAATAAGTTTTGAAAAAATAATAATTGATATTTAAAAGAATTTCAAAGCGAGATTTTCATAAAAAAAAAAAAAAACTTCGGAAAATTTCGGACGTACTAGGAACATTTAAAAAATGTAAAAAAAAATACCCCCAAAATACTTTGATCTTTCCTCTTAATAATAACAAACATTTAGATAAAATTTTGTTTTTGTCAAGTTTGGGGCTTTTTCCATCATGCTATGCTCTTTTTTTTGTGATCTCGTGGAGGTACGTAACTTAATTGCAGAACAACTAAAGAAATGAGCACATTATCAATGGCCTACTCATTTATCATTACAAACATTTTTGATCATGAGCCAAGTTTTAAAAGAATTTCTTTTAACTCATGTAGTTTAAACAGGTTAGGTTCATAAAACATTTTAAATAATAATAGCTATCTAGAAAAAGATATCAGTGCATAAATACTATTAAATATTTCATGGCCAAATAATGACTAACTTTCAAGAAATAAATCATGTAACTGCTTGCAAATTACACAGGTTGAAGCAGAAACTATTACTATTTTCAGCAATTGGTTGTATCAACTAGAAAGTATATAAAGGGCAATTTTCTGAATATACTTAAAAAAAAAAAATCTCCACTTAAAATAAGGATATGTTTTGTTTTTTTTATCTATAATTAACAAGAAATTCAAAACTCCTGTCAATTGTTTTATGTTGATCAACTTAAATCTTTTTCATTAAACAACTTTGATTTCTGAAAAGAAGACTGGTGCTAACACTATTAGCAAATCGTTGGGCAAATATTTTCTGAATTGAAGCAAATAAAGAAAAGGACACTACCTGCACATCATCTGGATCTTCGGCAGGCTGTTTCTTCTTCTCTGGAGAACTTGAAACGGATCTTGATCGTGACCGCGAACGAGACTTGGACTTCGAATATGATCTGGATCTGGAAGGTGAACGTGACCGAGATGCTGCAGGTGAGTGTGACCAGGAACGTGAACGCGATCTTGAACAAGACCGTGAACGAGAGCGTGATTGAGAACGAGATCTTGAATCTGACCTTGAACGTGATCTAGAAGATTCTGACTGGGATTTGGACTGTGATCTGGTTCTAGGTTCAGCAGGTTTATTTTCTGCTCCTCTGTGAGAGCTGCCACTTGAAGAGGACGACCTTGATCTGGACCGAGAGTGAGAACCGGAATGGGAAGCCTGAGAGCGGGAAGAAGCTGACCTGTAGAAAAAGCAAGGAAAAAAATAGAACCGAGTGGCTAAAAAGTAAGTTAAATAGCTGTTATTAGCTAGAGAGTTTTGTTGAATTCATATGCTGGCACAAAGGAGAGAAGAGCATCAAGTCACTTAAATACTAATTTACCATCTCAAAAGGTAAAAAATATGTTCTGAATTTAAAAAGAAAAAAAAAAAAGTTTGTGTTGTTACAATGACCACAATTTAATGAAGAGGAAAATAAATTTGATCAGCTGGGGTGAGAGGAAGCATTTGTTATTTTTGTATATTTTTATTAATTTACATATATTGATCTTAGAAGTTAAAAAAATGGTTAATTTTTTTTAATATTCAATTGTAAAAAAAAAAAAAAAATGATGCTGAGTAATAACTTGCACTAAATAAAATTTCAAATACTATTTCAGCACTAAAAATAATCCAATATTTTTTAATTATATAAAAGCTGCCTTAGAATTTTTAATCTTCATTTGATTATTTTGAGGGAAAACACAATTGTTAGTTGACAGTAAATCACGTTCTAAAAAGATTGCTATTTGAAACATATTTGGAACCATAAGTTAAAAAAATGTTCTGGATGGATTTATGCTACCATAAAAAGTCAAATTCAATCAAAAAAAAAAAAAATGAAAAATTATTAAGCCATAAAATTAACTTCAAAATTAAAATTCACTGAAATTCTGAAAGATTCTAGCATATGTATAGTTTGAAACTGAAGCTATTAAGAGATTAGTTCTACAGTAATTGTTTTGTTGCTATTTTCTCCAAGTGGCAAAGCACTCCACAAGTGTAAATTCTAAATCCCTTTCAATTAATACAAGTTATTAAAAAAAAAACTTTTCACATTTCACTCAGATGGGTTGCACCAAAGAATTAAATTAACAGTTCATTAAACACATAAAAGTAGTTCCTTCGAGTTTATGAATAAAATAATCATATTGAATAAGTAAACAAAACAATGTATCCTTATCATGGCTACTCAGAATTTATTCTTCAAGTACAGCCTTGAAAATGTTATAGATATTAACTAAACTTAATATAAAGCAAAAACAAAAGGGTAGTAAGATTGTGCAGCAACAAATTTCCAAAACAGATTTGATCATTTCCAAACATCAACACATGAAACTATTTTTTTTAACCCATGTTTTTACCTGGGTTAAAATATGGTCTATTCGCACTAGTGAGAATCACTCAGTAAGCAGATCTGAAAATTTTAGCATCTACTTGAAATGTGCAAAACATTGAGCACCCAGGAAAAAAAAAAAAAAAAAAAAAAAAATCAATCAGCAAAACAATTATCAGATCTCACATGATTTGTATGAACATTCTACTGCCTAGTCTCAAAAGCAAACTATAATTTAATACAATCCTGTTCAATTAAGTTTACACAGATCTACAGTTATGCAAGTCAATATTTATACAATAAAAGTGAGTTAACCAACTAATGGAAAAAAAACTCAAGATATCGGCTTTTAATATCAGTTTTTATTCAAAATATTTAGAATAATTTATTATTTGGTGTGAGATTTTATGCAATTCATGGGTTGTTCATCATATTGTAAATAAAGATATATAACGGTATATTGAGATTTTTTAAATTTCAGATGTATATAAAGATTGCCACAGATTATAAGATAGATAACCTCAAAAGAGAAACAGGTGTTTGTAAATTTATTGAATAATGGGGACACTAGATACTGCAAAAAGTTGAACAGAGACCAAAGAATCAGCCAAAAAAATTGGCAAGAACAAGAAACTGATTTAAGAACATTTTTGTCAAAATGCAGAGAATTATTTAAGTTCTTCGACAAGACATGGGAGGTTCAAAAGTAGTTTTAAGCTATATTCATGCAATACAATGCACCTTCAAATTCTATAAAGTTGACTATTGCCCACCTAGCAGAAAAAGATTTTGAAGTCAGCAAATTAACTGAATAGTCCCTGACTTCTCCAGATATTAATTCAATAGAAAAATTGTTATCCATCAGTAAGAGATGTATATGAGAATGGAAAACAATATTTAATTAAAGATCTTTGCAAAAAAAAAAAAAAAAAAATTGTTCTAAGTAATGTTAATAATTCATGGTAGAAGTTTTGAGATGCAGAATTATTGTGTCTTGCTATTTGGAGCAGTAAGCTCATCCTGATAATTAAATTAGTAACATTTTAACCCTCAAGATGAGCACACTGGTCAGAAAAGCAAGGCATAACAAATTAATGTTAACATAAAACAGTACAAAAGTTAATATAAGTAAAAGAATTTCCACCGGGCATGTAAAGTAACTGTAATAATAATAAAACAAAAAGATATCATTTGCTCCTAGTAAATTTCTGAAGAAATACTAGGAGAGAAAAAAAAAAAGGTTGTCTGTAAAACTGTTTTTCAAAGTAAACATTTTTCTTGCCTGGAATATATATTGTGTGCTGAAATGAACACAATGTATTATTCATAGAAATATATCTTGAAAATTTTACCAATATAAGTTAATACCAATTTTTTTTTGTGAAAACATTGACTTGCATAATAAAATGTTAGATTGTATATTAAAAAAGACTAGCATTTTCATATGAAGAAGAATAAGAAAAAAATTCCAGATCAACTCTATTTCAGTTTTTGAAATAGGGTTGATCTCAAGATTACTTGCATAAAAAGAAAAAATTATCTGTTTCTTAACAATTGTTACCTTGAAATAAAATTTGTATGCAAATGTGACACTTATTATAGAAGGGAGATAATAGTATTTTCCAGGAAAATACTCTTTGGAGCTGTTGCCAAATGAAAATTCTCTTTAATTTGAAGATTGGCTGACACTGTTTGCAAGTAAGAAATAATTATATTAGTGCTAGAGATAATTTAGTGCTAGAATCATTGCAAAAGGCAAGCAACTGAAGTTGAGCTGCTGGGAAAGGAAACAAGACAAAATGGCAACTGCCACACACAAAACAAAAACCACAGCCACACTTTAAGTAGCAAACAGGATTCAAACAGCACAAGAAAAAAAAAAAAAAAAAAGATGTCATCCTCATGTTTTGTATTAGAAATGTATGAGTTAAAAGATGTTTTGCATATGATCAACAAAATTTTACAAGCAATACAAAAATTTTTTTTAAAAAATAGGTGAACAAAATAAGCAGAAAAGATAGTTTACCAATATAAATGTGCTTAACAGCATGCTCGAGTTGATAAGAATAAAATATAAACAATAAGAGTACATATACTTAAGTGCATGTATATATACACCAGTAGTGGCCAGACTTGATTCACCTAAAAAGTGAATTCTCTCTCAAGTGGAAATAAGTACCAAAGCAAGACATGTAAATTGCTATCACAAACATAATAAAAAATAAGATAGTCATATTTACTGTTTCCAATGTTAAACTGTTTTAATTATGAAAAAATTTATAAACTTAAAAATTCAAAAGAAAAATCCAAAATTATGCTTTTCTTATAGAACTTTTTTTTAAAACTCCAATCTTTTTTTTTCCACCCCCAAGAAAACTTGTTACAAACTGCAACTACCAAAGAACCAAACACAGAAAGCAATCTGTAGTTTGGCCACCTTCGTTATATATACGTGTGCATGTTTTCTTCAAGTGACAATAGTGTTGGATATCAACCAAGCTGTGAGAGTGATTACAAAAATGGACCAAGCAATTAATTACACAAAGGAGATAAAAAGATGAGGGTGGATTACATAAGCCAGCCAGCCAACCAAGCTTATAATGGCAAGCTTATTTCCTGCAATATTAGGCAATGTTTATAAGTGTAGGTTACCACAAATACTTTTCTCCAGTCAAAAATTTGGCAATTTACAAAAATTAAAAAAAAAAAAAAATCTTTAAATATTAAAAATTTATAACAGACAAAATTAAAGTATTCCCTAATCATGCCTGTATGAGAACAAGAAAAACACAAAATAGTTTTCTCTTTAAGATGTCTTCTTTTTTTTCCCCCTCTTTAAATTTTTTTAAACATTAAACTAAAAATATTTAAGCTTCTTCAACTGTTAACTTAAATTTTCTAATATTTCAACAAGTGAGAAAGAATTATGGTAACATTTTAACTAAAATGAGGGGGAGGGGCTAAATGAGTAAGTTGTTTTTAACTATAACATTTTATGAGATATAATATTTTAATATCTTCTTTATTAAGCAATAGATTCTTTGCTCAAATTTTCAACTCCTCAAAACAGTATCAATATAGGCAAGTTTTATAAAACAATTGATAAGAATGAAATGACAAAGAAATATTTTTCATGACCGGATAAATATTTTCTGTCAAATTTTCTATCTGAAAATTCAAATATATCTGGTGATATCCTCTCAAATTGCAAAAGATTGTATTAACAAAGCATAGTAAACTAATTTGTTTATCAAACACTGGACCACCAATTAACAAATGAAAATTCATTTTATAAAGGCTTTAATGCTGACAGTCATCACCAAAAGAAAATGTTTTCCTCGTCATTTCAAATCTGAATCTGTAAACCAAATATTGATTAAAAAAGTTATTACATTAATGGAGCTAATTTACTCTGCACAAAGCAAGCAGATTAATTTAAAACATACAAAATGCCATATCAGTGCATATATGTAGTTATAATATTTTGTCAGAGACACTAATACAGCAATACTTGCTCTGTGCTAAATAACCACAGAGAATTATCAAATTTCTAATACTCTACCTATTCTTTAGACTTTGAACACCAGTAAATTTACTTGCTTCAAAACTGTCTCAGACAATGAACAACAATATAATAAACTTTATGTTTAAATAACCAAAACATATTCTTTCTCATAATTAAAATATGCCAAACAGCTAAAATCAGTTACTAAGAACCCCTGAAATTACAGGACACTATATATTGCAATCTTTCTAATTATTCAATGGCTTCATTAGTTTAGTACCATTGCACTATTAAAATACACTTGCTGCTATAAAATAGTTTAAAATTAGTTCACAATCACAAGATAATTCCACACAGGCAT